GGGTGACTTTGGGCCAATCACCAGGAGACTGTATGTTCTAGTCCCACGGTGACTTGGAGTCAGTCATTTTCTCTCAGCCCAACTCACAGGGTTGTTCTTCTTGTGAAAAGGAGAAGAAAGCGTTATTTCTGTTGAGTTACCTATAAAGTAATAAAGGATTTTTAAAAATCTAATAAATACATAAATAAATGTGCCCTATATCAGGTTTCTGAATCTTGCCGCGAGGCACTTACCTTTCGTCACTTAGGATAAACATGACAAAAGCTTCTTTGCTGGGTCTAGGCAGACATTAGCTCCTTAAAAAAATAGTTTAAGATAAGCTTTGCAAAATGTCATCAGTGTCACAACAGATTAAAATCTATAAATAATGCCAGTTCCTTCATTAAAAAAAAACCAATTAAATAAACCATCTTCATACATGGCAACCTGTACAGATTTTTCCCTTAGCATATTTAAACATTTCATTTTTTAAAAGAAATTACCTCTGTTCAAGCACTCTTGAATTTCTTTTTCCCTGTCATTCCTATTTGATATCGAGTCAGGGATGTCCAGAAATACCTCAAACAAATCATAATGGCGGTTGGGTCTGTGCAATTTAGTTCCAGACAACATTGTAAAAAAGGACCCCATCTGAATTTTTGGCTTGTCATTGGACGACCCCAGATCTTCAATTAACATCCTTCCTAGCTGGCATGGCTACTATTAGCTGTAGACCACGCTGGTTGGGGAATTCTGGGAGTTGAAGTCCACAGGTCTAAAGATTGGTAAGATTGTGAAACACTGCTGTAGAGCAGTGTTTCTCAACTTTGGCCAATTTAAGCTCCCAGAGTTGAAGTCCACACAGCTTAATGTGGCCAAGGATGAAAAACATTGCTGTCTAGAGCAGTGGTGGCTAACCTTTTTGGGCTCCCATGCCGAAAATTGCGCGCACACTGGCGCATGCGCTCTCGTGTGCCAGCACCCAGAAGGCAATGTGCCCCACCCCCCTGCGCATGTGCGTGCAACACCCCTGTGCCTCTTTACTTGCACTGCACATGCCCCAGCCAAACTTACCTGCACTGCACATGTGCGTGCCTCCCAGCTGATTTTTGGCCCGTTTGAGGCAGTTTTCGCCCTCCTGGAGGCTCGAGGGAGGTCTCTGCAGGTTTTGGAGGCTAAAATACTGGAAGTGCCGAAACGGGCCCATTTTTCAGCCTCCAAAGGCTGCAGAGGCTTTCCTTGAGTCCCCGGGAGGGTGAAAACAGCCTCCAGAGGCCCTCCAGAGGCTGAAAACGGGCACTTCCGGTATTTTCGGAAGGCCCATTTTTCGGTCTCCTGAGGCTGCAGAGGCTTCCCTCGGGCCTTAGGGAGGCCAAAAAAGGCCTCAAATGGGCCGAAAATCAGCTGGGAGCCACACACATGCTCAGTGCAGGTAAGTTTAGCTGGGGCTCACGTGCCCACACAAATGGCTCTGCATGCCATCTGTGGCACGCGTGCCATAGGTTCGCCATCACGGGTATAGAGCAACGGATAGGAGCAAGGTAGCTCTAGTATGCTTCATTTTAGGCCTATCATGACACCAAAATAAATTCATACTGTATCCGAAAGCACCCTTTTGTCCATCGATATGCCCACCCTAATGAAATCACAGCAAAAAATGCAGAAGCCATTCTGAGGAAGCTCAGATCTGGAAAACCAAGAAAATTACTGTAGTATAGGTAGTCATCAATTAACAACGGTTCTTTTAGTGACCGTTCAAATTACAACGACACTGGAAAAAAGTGACTGATGGCCATTTTTCACAGTTACAATCTTTTTGCATTATCCCCATGGTTGTGTGATCAAAATTCAGATGCTTGGTCACTGGTTCATACTTATGACCGTTGCAGCATCCCAGAGACACGTGGTTGCTTTTTGTAACCTTCTGACAAGCAACATCAATGAGAAAGCCAGATTCCCTTAACAACCAGGTTACTAACTTATAAATTGCAGTGATTTAGTTAACAACTGTGGCAAGAAATGTTGTAAAACGGGGCAAAACTCACTTAACAAATTCTCCCTGAACAACATAAATTTTGGGCTCAATTATGGTCGTAAGTCGAGGACTACCTGTATTGTCATGTTCCATAAAGAAATCCAAAATTCAAATTCCACTCACTCAAGCGCCATCTAGTGGCAAAAATCAGTCTATGCAGAGGTTGAGAAATTAAACTTATACATTGTTGTTATTAGCATTTCTCTCTTTTCCAATTTTAATTTTCCACATGGTATTTCTTTTTTCTTTTTCCTGGGAGTTGAAGTCCTCCACTCTTAAAAGTGAACTTTATTGATTTTATCAATTAAAACAAAACAAACAACATAGAAGAAAAAATTAAAAGGTTTCAACAACGATGACAGATTGTGGTTTCCTATTTATAATATTATTTTGTGCGATATTTACAGTTGATATCTTATGCAAATATATATTCACTACAATTACTGCTTATCTTCCTTACTGTTTACTATATAGTCTGTCTTCCCTCAATCCATTCATACCAATAATCCCAAATTGTGTAATACTCTGATGATTCTTTATCTTTTAGGGCTAGGGTTAATTTATCCATTTCTGCACAATTCATTATCTTTTGAATTGTCAATTCCTCTCGTGGAGTATAGGGCTATTTCCAACATTGAGCATAGGCCAATCTGGTCACAGTCAGTACATGTAGTATGGTATTTCTAAGTAAAAGGATTTGTCAGGAAAATATTGGTAGTCCTCAGGTTGCAATCATTTGTTTAGTTCAAACTGTTTGTTTAGTTTATTCAAAGTTACAACGGCACTGAAAAAAGTGATTGACAATTGCTCCTCAAGCTTATAACAGTGGCGGCATCGCCATGGTCACTTGATCAAAAATTAAAGTACTTGGCAACTGATATGTATTTATGACAGTTGCAATGTCCCAGAATCATGTGACCACCATTTGCAACCTTCCTGGTTGGCTTCCAACAAGCAACGTCAAGCTGATTTGCATGATTCATTCAACAACTGCAGCAATTCCCTTAACAATTGTGTCCAAAAAAATTATAAAATTAGGTGTGACTCATTTAACAACCCCCTTGCTTAGCAATCTGTTCCCAATTGTGGTCATAAATTGAGGACTAGCTGTAGGACAGTGAAAGTCAGCAATTAAAATACAAAGTACTTAAATGAACAGGAGCAGATTTATTCCATTTCCCTCATTTACATAAATATCCTCTCTCAAAATGTGGAATTTGGGGGTCAGAGCAGCAAGTGCAGCTGGCCTTTATATGTCCTAAAATGTGGCTGCAGGAAGCATTTTCGAAATAATACATTATTTAAATCTGTAGTATGAGGAAGAGGAAGAGGAAGAATACATAGAGGAGGAGGAAACACAGGAGACCATTGTGGAGACAAAGAAGGCGCCGGTGGTTCCCAAACCTGCCCCTCCTCCTGCAACGGTGCCTCCCCTACGCCGAAAATCATCTGCCAATTACCGGGCCTACGCCGTTGAGCCGCACGACAAGGTAAGTGCTGGTCTCCTTTCCACTTGGATTGAAAAACAGAAATGCAGAAATATCCAGGGCAAAATTAAGAATGAGGGGCTCAGAAAATCAAAGGGAGACCCAAAGGGAGAAGAAATGCAGAAAGGAAAACAATATAGCACCTTGTGTTTGTGTCTGTGTATGTGTGTCTCTGTGTGTTTTCAGAGAGCAATGTAAATTTATCAGCCTGCATGGGAAACAATACAAAGTCAGGATAAATTTGCATGTCCCTCCCAGTGCAAGCTCAAAGTGCAATTTAGAAGTTGAACACATTGGTCTGCTCTATTTCAGATCGATGCTCTCCTTTGTGCATTTTCTGTCACAGAATCAGAAAATTGGGTGTCCAGTCTTCATGCTTAGCATCTCAAATTTCCTTCTCATTTCAGAATGTTTCTGCTCCTTAAAATCTGCTCAAATCTTTCAAAAACATGGAGGATATGTGATATTTTCAAAATGGTCTCTGTTAGAAATTCAGTTTATATAAAGCACCATACAGAGCAAACAAAAAGTACAGTCACCATGTGCTTTACTGCTCAACTATATAACTGTAACTGGAAACAGAAAACTCAGAACAAAAGAGCATAGACTAGAGTATATATCATAGATCCAAACTTGAAAATACTGCCATCTACTGGCTGAATACTACTATAGATGTTGCAGAGAAATAAACCCCAACAATGAATTCCAACAGTCTCTAGGTGTGAGTTAATTTAGACCAGGGGTGTCCAACCACCTAACTTATGGACTTCAACTCCCAAAATTCCCCAGCACTGGCTGGGGAATTCTGGGAGTTGAAGTCCACAGGTCTTAAAATTGCCAAGGTTAGACACACTTCATTTAAACTGATCCCATCTGTTATTCATTTAGAAAGAAATTAAACCTGCTGGACAAAGCAGATTATATTCTATTTCCTATCTCTCCCTTCTTCTAATCGGCTGTGGTTTTTCCTTTGGAAATTTGTCACTTTATCTGCACTAACCAGCCCTAAACCAAATCAGTTGATTGTTTCTTTCCTTTTCTATTAAACTGCTCCACATGTTGTGGAGGATAAGCAGTTACCACTGTAAATTTAGGAAGTTCCACTAAGCATCATCCTTCCGGAGTGTGAAATATGCCTCTTAATCTCTCTTCTTTTGTTCCACCACAGATAAAATGCAAGATATCAGCTTCTCGGAAATTGCAACTCAAGGTAAAGTGAGCTTCTGGGTATTGGTACACTTAGAAAAGGGCACAAGGTGCTAAACACTTCTGGGGACACATCCGGCAAGTTTCTAGGAGATTGGAATGCAAAACATAGTACTTGTAGTCCTTGATTTACAACCATTCGTTTAATGATCATTTGGAGTCACAAAGCCACTGAAAAAAATGACTTATGACTCTTGTTCACTCTTACAATTTTTGCAGCATCTCTGTGGTCACATGGTCAAACTTTGGACACTTGGCAACTGCCATGTATCCTTGACAGCTGCGACCTTCTGACAAGCAAAACCAATGGGGAAGTTAGATTCATTTAACGACCTTATTATTAACTTAACAACAGTAGTTATTCACTTTACAGTTATGGCAAGAAAGGTCATAAAATGGGTCAAAACTAACTTAACAACTGTCTTGCTTATCAACAGAGGTTTGGGGACTCAATTGTAAGTCGAGGACTATGTGTAGTATATAGACCCTGGTGGAAAAGAAGCGCAGTAGATCAGATTCCAAGAGAAGAGAACACCCAGATAACCACAACCACCCCACACACGAATTTGATGCAAATATTTGGCAGGAAGGAACACTTGACAAAATGGACTTGCCCAAAGTGAATGCCCTCCAGATCTGTGATTCAGCTCCCAAAATTCTTGGATTAATATGGCCACCATTCTTGGGGTCCATCCATGCTTCAGCAGAGTTCCTTGGAAGGGAAGAGCTAGCTTAAGCCGCGGTATATTCATCAGGTTGAAGGAACACAAGGAAGATATAAGTGACCCAGCTTATTGACCCAAATTCTTGTCTTTTCACCCAGTCATTGATGCTCCAAGTGGCTAAGAGGGAAATGGAAAAGGAAGAAGAAGAACGCTCCCAGGACAAGGAGCGGTTTCTCTCCGACCGCTGTGTCGCCTTAGAAGTGGCAGGACTCAGCCTTACGGAACTACAGGTCAGCATAGAAGTGGGGAGAATGAAGGAGTGAGAAAGAGGATCAAATTGGAGAAGACCTGCTTCTTGGGTTTAGTGAAATTAGCCTTCTCTGAACAGTTGCTTTCCAGATGTGTTGGATTTTCCATGAAAAGTCTCTAGTTTGAAGAAAGGTAAAGACAGATAGCAGATGAAAGGAAAACTCTAAAGTATGTCTTTGATCTTCAGGATAAACTAGCTTAGATGTTGGCTTTTGTTAAAGAAGGCAATGAGCTCCTTGAGGAGAGCATTATGCATTTGCTGCACAACTTGCTTTGCACCAGCAGCTCTCAAGCAACAGTTGGGATCCCTTCACTTGCAACATAATTAACATTCCATTTACTTTGAGGGGCAACATTACTTTAGAAGAAGCCACCGAATTAAAATTGTCATGTAAGCTGATGTTCAAAATTAGCTTTCTTCAAACAGTTGCACTCCAGGTATATGAAGTGGGCATGGGGTTTGTAGGACAACACAACTGGAAGGGTAGCTGATTGGGTATTCTAAGAGATGTCTTAGCTTTGAGTAAAATGTATAATAGTGGTTATTAATGGAAACTAAATCTCCAGCATACCTGGAGATATTGGAGTGTTTCAAAATTGTTGACTTTTTCTTTCTCCAGTTGGACCATTCTGATTCAAGTGGTTAATGTCTTTAAAAGTCAGTTATGTGGTCCATCTCTCAATAGCCTCGAAAATGAACTTTGCACTTGTTCAGGTACACCCTGCTCTTTATTAGACTTGAATCTGATGTTTGATTGTCTTATACTACCTGGTTTACTATAGGAATTGTGTCGGCAGCTGCATAGGCAAATTGACAAAATTGATGAGGAGCGTTATGACATGGAGGCCCGGGTCAATAAGAGCATCAATGAGGTGAGCTTTTGAACCTTGGGTGGGATCTGGGCCGCAATCGTCTTTACAGGATATCACTTGTGGATCCTGATCATATAAGATAGAAAAAGAGCTCAATGTATTTCAGATGATGGATTTAGCCAATGGAACCTGGCATTTTAATGACAGCAATTAGGGAAATGCAAAACACAGTGTTGTCTTTTTCTCCCAGCTTAAAAAAAAAAAAATCACTTAGGGCCATTGGGTAAATCAAATCAGGAAAAGATGGAACGTATGCTGCTCTGATGTTCTTGGGAAGAAGGGTGGCTTTTAAAGACAACGACATTATGCCCATTGCGCTAGGTTTGCAATTGCAGAAAAAGAGTAAGACATAATAAGCGAAAGAAATAAACGACATGAGAAAGAAGAATAAAAGGGAGTCTAGACCAGGGGTGTCAAACTCAAGGCCTGGGGGTCAGATTTGGCCTGTGGAGTGCTTAGATCTAGCCCGCAGGCCCGCCCTGGAAACAGCAAAGGACCGGCCCATGGTGCTTCTGCCAGTGAAAAGGGAACTTGGGAGGGCTGTGCATGGCCCTCCCAGGCTCCATTTTGGTCCGTGATGGCCTCCTGCAACCTTCTGCCAGCATAAACAGACCCCGGGAGGGCCATCGTGGATGAAAATGGAGCCTCAATGAGTGACATCAAGCTGGCCATGCCCACCTTAGCCAGCTCCCCCCCACCAGCCACCGAGGTCAAACACAACCCTGATGCGGCCCTCAATGAAACAGAATTTGACACCTGATCTAGACAAACCTAGTTTGCCTCAGCAACATTCACTGTATCTCTCCACATCGTTCAATCCTTGAAAAGCATTCTAGTTCTTCCACCATGTCCACTTGTTGCTTTACATTTTGACTATTCACAATTTTCATCTCTCCATTTTTGAGGATCTGGTCAGTTCCCTCATGGATTCAGTCATGGATTTCCCAGCCTTCTCTTTCTCCTCACTCATTTACTCTTCTTTATTCTGCAGGTAAATTCTCATTCATTTTCTGTATGTGACCAATCATCTCAGTGTACTTTTCCATACTGATTATTCACTTTTCCATTCAGTCCACATTTCTTCAGAGCCAGCTCTTCTATTTCTAGACTCATTTCTTTTCTATCACGTCTATTTTCCCCCCAAGTTCCACACTTGATATTAGTGAGAGCCTGTCCCACCTTCAGAATATATTGACACCTTGTTTCTTTCACTAATCTAATTTTTCTTAGATCTTCTAAGACTTAAGATCTTAGAAGAAGATCTAAGCAGCCACCATTTTCATTCATTCTTAGGGATCAGATTGCCCCAATCACTTTTTCTGTCATTCTGTTACTGCATTTGTACCATCTATTCATATCATCTAGAATTAAGAATATTTTTTTATCTTGCATGCAGTTATCACCAACCTATAGGTTTCTATTTTCAAACGCACCTACAAAATCCTCAGCTCTTTCACACATCATGAAACCTACATCTTCAGAATTTGCAATAGTGGCAAATATCTGTAGCTTGAGGGTGAAGGTTCATTCTCCGATCTTGTGGGTTGGTTTCTGAACATTTTGTTGCCAGATTGGTAACATCTTCAGTGGAATTTAGAGGGTGTCAGTATCAGTGTGGAGTGCCATGCTTCATTGAGCGTGGCGTGGCGGGGGGTTTAGCGTGGCTGATTTTATATAGATAGATAGATAGATAGATAGATAGATAGATAGATAGATAGATAGATAGATAGATAGATAGATAGATCTATCTATATATCTATATATCTATATATCTATATATCTATATATCTATATATCTAT